CTGGTCCTTCTTACTTTGGAGACACACTATCTGGTCCTTCTTACTTTGGAGACACACTGTCTGATCCTTCTTACTTTGGAGACACACTATCTGATTCTTCTTACTTTGGAGACGCACTGTCTGGACCTTCTTACTTTGGAGACACACTATCTGGTCCTTCTTACTTTGGAGACACACTATCTGGTCCTTCTTACTTTGGAGACACACTGTCTGGTCCTTCCTACTTTGGAGACACACTATCTGGTCCTTCTTACTTTGGAGACACACTATCTGGTCCTCACATCGAAGACACACTATCTGATCCTTCTTATTTTGGAGACACACTGTCTGGTCCTTCTTACTTTGGAGACACTATCTGATCCTTCTTACTTTGGAGACACACTATCTGGTCCTCACATCGGAGACACACTATCTGATCCTTCTTACTTTGGAGACACACTATCTGGTCCTTCTTACTTCGGAGACACACTATCTGATCCTTCTTACTTTGGAGACACACTATCTGGTCCTTCTTACTTTGGAGACACACTATCTGATCCTTCTTACTTTGGAGACACACTATCTGGTCCTCACATCAAAGACACACTATCTGATCCTTCTTATTTTGGAGACGCACTGTCTGGTCCTTCTTACTTTGGAGACACACTATCTGGTCCTCACATCGAAGACACACTATCTGATCCTTCTTATTTTGGAGACACACTGTCTGGTCCTCACATCGAAGACACACTATCTGATCCTTCTTACTTTGGAGACACACTATCTGGTCCTTCTTACTTTGGAGACACACTATCTGGTCCTCACATCGAAGACACACTATCTGATCCTTCTTATTTTGGAGACACACTGTCTGGTCATTCTTACTTTGGAGACACACTGTCTGGTCCTCCTCACATCGGAGACACACTATCTGATCATTCTTACTTTGAAGACACACTATCTGGTCCTTCTTATTTTGGAAACACACTATCTGGTCCCTATCTTTCATTATCTTACTCAATACTTGACCCCAACCAACACTTTTTCAATGTCTGTATGTCAAGATAATGTATATATTGTTCATGTACTCACATAAAACACTTGGTATCACTTCGATATGCAACCATTTCACCATCTAATATACAACGTTTTACATTGCTATCAATTAAAAATATAAATGTGTTAATATTATTCACAGAATGTGAGAACAGTTTTAACAAGCCATGCATGGCACAGTCCCTATTAGTTATCAAACTTAAGATATAGTTTTGTTAATAGTAATATAGTTGGAATGTAAACATGTCAGAAGTATGGATCAAGAAGATGCACGGAAAATGGGAATGGGAACTAAAAAATGCCGTGCATCAGGAACCCATAATGTCTAATGTATGTACCAAGTTTGAACGAAATCCATCCATAAATGCCAGAAATGCTTGATATTTGATGATTTTTTTAGCACAAAAATGGCCAACATTCGGTCATTTTGATTATGATCTTCAAACCAATTTATCTGTATATCTATCACATGATGTATAATGAATATTAAAAATTTGAACATAATCAGTCAACGCAAATCAGAGATATGGGTCTAGAAGCCCATTCATTAAAACAAAATGGCCGCCAGTCAGCCATTTTGAATCCGGTCTGAAAAATAAAACTGTTTGCATCAAGGTCCCATAATGTCTAATGTATATGCCACGTTTGAACAAAATCCATCTGTAAACAGCCGAGAAATGCTTGATTTTGATGATTTTTTAGCACAAAAATGGCCGCCATTTGATCATCTTGAATCATATTATGAAACAAGTTGATGTGCATATGTATAATATCATGTATGATGTATGTGTGAAGTTTGATTGTGATTGGTCCAGGCATTTCTAAGATACAGGTCCGGACACACACAGACGCACAAGGTTCAAAACATAAGTCCCCGTTTTTGGACTGCGTCCAAATGGCGACTAAACACAGTTACCTTTTAAAACAGTTAGCAATGTATGGTGTCAATGATCCATCTAAAGGCGTCCCTCCGAATGCATGTGTATACTCATGAGAACTGCAATAAAACATTCACAGCAATAAACTCCTTGTAGTCCATCCTTGGACAGCAAAGTAAACACCTTGTAGTCCATCCTTGGACAGCAAAGTAAACACCTTGTAGTCCATCCTTGGACAGCAAAGTAAACTCCTTGTAGTCCATCCTTGGACAGCAAAGTAAACACCTTGTAGTCCATCCTTGGACAGCAAAGTAAACACCTTGTAGTCCATCCTTGGACAGCAAAGTAAACACCTTGTAGTCCATCCTTGGACAGCAAAGTAAACACCTTGTAGTCCATCCTTGGACAGCAAAGTAAACACCTTGTAGTCCATCCTTGGACAGCAAAGTAAACACCTTGTAGTCCATCCTTGGACAGCAAAGTAAACACCTTGTAGTCCATCCTTGGACAGCAAAAGTAAACTCCTTGT